ACCATCAGGTGAGCCGCATGCTCGTTTGCCCCCTCTTCTATATATATAAAAAATGGTGGTCGCAGATATTTTGCCGGCACTTCAAAATTTTATTTTGTATTTTAAACTATTTTTACGGATTTGATGAAACATATTATATGAAGAATAGTCTACTATCTTTCTCTCTACTCTATGTTTTGATCTTCTAAAATGAGTTTAAGTTGGTAAAATCAAGACAAACAGTTGTGTGTCGCTTTTTATGAAAAACCGACGAAACTTTGCCTAGGGTTGTCAATTATTATTTTGATAATAAAACTAGTGAAATTCCGCGGAATGAACTTAGTTAGAACATAATATAACCTTTACGTTTTACATAAATATCCTAAAACTTATATTTCAATATGTTACACCAATTCTCAAAACAAAAATAAATGAACGTGAATTATTCTACCTAGATGCTAAACCACTAAGGTTGAACTCATAAAATCTAAAACATTATCATCATGTCACAAAACCAAATTCGGGATATCCGGGCGTACCATTTTAAATAAAGTCAACATATCTATTTTCTCATAAAAATCCTGAACGTTTTAATGCAGGATGAAGATGGTATTTATTTTTATTGATTAATAATTTTAGCTTATAAACGTAATTTTCAAATGTTTTAAGTATAATTTGTTAATTTAGCTATTTATGTATACCTACATGCCTTACAATGTTGATTTAAAAGTCTAAAATCATTCCAATATTGTCAAACTCTTATAAACTAATCGAAATATACCTAATTGGAATAGAAGATTATCTATGCACTACATTCAAGTATTTATTATTTTGTAATCATAAATAGGTATAATGAAACAAAGTAACATTGATGATGTTTGAATTTTTAGCAGGTATCCATCCTGCAATGTATACTTACTACTTTATTACACTAATAATAATATTCTTCTTTAACTTATTTTACCTTAAAGTGAATAAACGGAATGATCCTTTTTAACAAATAAGTTGTTTTATTGTCCCAAGGTGACAACCCTGCAAGTTTCCACATAAAATGATTAAATGTTCAAAATGTCTGCTTAACATTGCCTACCTTCTTATTAAAAAAAAATTAAAAGTTTTACACTTTATGTCATGGTAGAGTAGGAATTAAATCAATACTTTATGCGAGCGAAATCTGTTCATTTGGAAACGCATTTTAAACTGATTTTTGCCTAGGCAAAGTAGAGGAAAGCGCATATTAAAATATGTCCAAGTCGAAATCTACGCGATCGCTTTGGAACGGCGTAATATTGACGCACACTACAATGTTATCTCTGTGTGCGTGTCAGGGCGAGCGTGAGGCTATAATAGTTGCCTAACGACGACTACGAATTACTTTGATCTTTGATTATATACCTGTCTTTGATACTATTGGAACTAAAATAATAAAAAAATAATTTCCATATAATGGCTTATATAGTGTATAGAAATCTGAGGCTAATATGTGAAAATTGTTTTATTCTTTTAGTAAATTGAAGTGGGCTTTACATTTTCACCCTATTGAGTATATTATAATATGTATATGTTCTAATTGAAAAATATGTATTGTATAAAATATATATCATTTGATAAACTTTTGTTCTGTTTCATAATGTAAAAATAATTCATCAAACTAACAATTTCATTAGTGTCGGCGGGGATTAGTGTTGCAAGGTCCAGCAAGTAAAATTTCGGGACGGAAAGTAAAAATAATCGGGATTTGGTTTTCACATCCGGACAACTACAATGACTACAAAATATAGGTTTCTTTGTAGCCTTTTTGTGCTTTATTGAGAGCTGTGGTAGCTCAGATGGTCAACGCTCACTGTAAATATCACAGTATGTGAGTAATGCGAGAAATTGTGACTGTAACTTTACTTTACTTTTGTGCTTTATAATTATTATTCGGGTCTGATCTCATAAACGAATAACTTTTCATCCAAACATCGTAAAAACTGAACTTTTTTCATTTTAGGCAAATTAAAACATTTTTGAACTATTTGTTTTTTTTTTTTGCAGTCCCTGAATTTTTCAAATCACTCATTTTAATATAATTCTGTTTAAAACTTTTGTGTTTTTTTTTTCGACTGGTGAGACAATGTCGTAGTAAAAATAATTTAATGTGGTAATAGCTAACAGATGGAATCATTTTTGCTGTCAAAATTATGGATTAAAGCATAGAATATGAAGGTTAGTGAAAATCGGGACATTTGGCGTCCCGATCAAGGGTGAATCGGGACGTGTCACTAGACCCTTGAAAATCGGGACGTCCCGCGCAAATCGGGACACCTGGCAACACTAGCGGGGATCGAGCCCGGATTGTTCGCGTTTACGGCGAGCACTACGCCCTTGAGCTACTCGACTCAAGCACGGCTCATATGTTTTATATCCGCCAAGTCGAGCAAAACAGCGGCACGGCCGTATCATCATTGCGAGACTTGGTTATTTTACAAGTTATGTTTTTGATGGCATGTCTTTGTTTAATCATAACGTTATTTCCACACTAGGAATTTTTCCTAAGTACATCGTGGGGGCAGTATAAATACATTAATTTCACAAGGACAAACATCCAGACCTGGAACAATTATTTGTAGGTAATACAAATTTTTGTTCCATGTGGGATTCGAACCCGCGGCGCTCAGCGCTACAACTCATTACCAAGTCACTCCGCCACGGAGCCAAAGGTGAAAGCCGATTTTGTATTTTTACTTGATCCGAATTGCTTACGTTCATTACTCATTTCTAAAAAAAATATGTATGAAATGAAAATTTGCCACCATTACATCATTTAATATTTAAATATTACAATCATAAACATATTTCAAAATTACTTACTACCAAAAATATCGCTTATAAAAGTCTCAATCGTTTAAAATGTTCGATGGTGCTATAGGTAGCTAGTTATAGTATAGTGTAGTATAGCCCTATCGGTGTATCAACGCGATCGCGCGGTGTCGGTGAGAAAAAGTAATACGTCCTGTCGTTGGGATTACCCGGAGCATATAACACAGAACACATATACCCCTAAAGGGGGTAGTGAACACAGAACATTATTACTCCTATCCTATCGGAGGTACTGAATCGAACGTCGTCTGCGCATGATGTTTTATAGTATTTTTAAAATAATTGACAAAATAAAACAAGCTAAATTTTTTTTTGGATATTTAACATTACATGTATTTTGATAAAATAATTAAAACAGATATTTTTATAACCAAATACATGGAAAAAATTACATTGAAGTAGACAGTTTTGGTGATTTTATAATATTAAATCGAAATATTTTCGTAATTTAGATTTTGCTATACACTAAAAGACTATATATTCCATTATAATAACGCTTAATATAAAGTATTTTAGCTTATAATAATGGTTGTATTCAACCTGAAAGATAACTCTGATGCATATTTTCGTAAAACGCTGTTAAGGGATTGTCTTCGCTCTAAAAAACCGTCATTAAAAACTATGATTTTGCATTGCTATGTACTAAATAAAGACTTCATCCTTCTAAAGCACTAATTTTCAGAAAATAATCTCCTCACGTCGTTACGATATCGCCTTTGGAAAAACCATAAAACATGTAGTTTTCGACTCGAAACGCATATGCCCTCTTAACTTTGCCTGGATATTTCGAAGCTTATTTCTCAGAAAATATGAGGTGTAGACTATAGTGGGTTATTTTGATAGACGCACAAAGTTTTGATTTACATTTTTTCTTTATATGTGTTATGTTGATAGACGCACAAAGTTTTGATTTACATTTTTTCTTTATATGTGTTATGTCACTTTTTCAAATCAAATTAAATCATTTATTTGCAATCCAAGTGTAGGTACGTAATTGGTCTTAAATTAAAAATGTGTTTACAACTTAGACGCCCTTTTCAGGCACTGCAAAGACGAGGACATCACTTATATACATAAAACATACTTAGAAGCTACATAAATTTAAAATACATAATAATATTATTTTTTATCCAAATACTCCTCAGTTGAGTACCTAGAAGGGGTTTTGTTTTAAATATTTACTGAGGCTTGATTGAAATTTGGTTAATTCTGATATGTTTTTTATTTCTTGTGGTAATTTATTATAAACTTTTATTGCCATATAGTACCTAGCGGCTTGTATTTAACATTTTTGTTCGCGACTGTGGTAGGTATAATTTACTTTTGTTACGTGTATTTATGTTATGTGTATCTTTAATCTTCTTGAAAATATTATTTTTGTGGACAAACAGGCATAGATCATAAATGTACATACAGGGTAAGGTAAGAATATTTAGTTTTTGAAATACGGTCTACAGCTAGTATTGTTATCTATCTGGGCTAGTATTCTAACATAGTTCTGGGTAATAAATACCTAGCAACTGTACTTCGACGCTACTTCCCCATTACATAACGGCTACTGCAATCCATGGACACCTGCAGCTAACTTCAAACAAACAAGTCTACAGATGTGTTGTTACCTCTGAGGACTAAATTAGATGGAGTACCTAACAGCTGTCTATACTCTTCAAACCGAAACGCAGTAGTACAAGCACCACTATTTGGCAGAAAATATATTATGTAAACTCGTACGTACTTGCCCATACGGACTCCTTGTCAGTAAAAGAGTTCTAGTACCTAGTGAAGACCCACCGACCACCGATAGATAGTCTGGTTGTTCGATGTGGAAAGGGGATATAGAAATTAAGTCATAGATAAGTGGATCAGATATTATGATATTTTTTTTAATTGTGGTTAATTATAAGATAAATCCACTGTAATTACTTTTAATCCAAATTGAGTAAAATTATTCTATTCTATTCTAAAAGCTATAACGGTTAACTGTAGTACAAATAAAAGTCTAATTTTACTTTAAATTTTAATTATTTTAAGATGATATATTTATTAAGTTATTTACTTAAACAATAATACAAAAGAAAACAAACTGTTATGTCCAAAGAATATTTTTTTTACATTTTATGTTAAAGTTTGCCTTCTTGAGGTGTTTCTGTTCCGCCATATTAATCTGAAAATAAATATGATTTATTAAATACGACTAAAATAGTCAAATAATTATGAAACATTATTTAGTAACATAAGTCGTGAACTTTTGTATTTTAAATTATTATCACTTACTTGGTTTAGCCATTCCGCGCATCTGTCGCGTCTCCTCTTCGGTATAATCAGCGAACTTGTTTATACCGTACGTCGCAGAACTTTGTTTTGCATTGAGTTCATTGATCCGATGCAGGGATTTAATGAATGCTTGATAATGTACTTCTCGATCAGCGTCGTCCTTGTATTGCTTATTGTGCTCTTTCACAAAATTGTCGAACAACGCTTCGGCATCATTCACATCGTAAAACGGTTTATTCTGCTCTGACTTAGCGGACGCCATTGCTGTCAGTCAGCGCGAGTGTGAGCGCTGAGCGCGAGAGAGACCTATTGTACTACGACTATCGAGGAAAGGGAGGGCGGTGAAGCGGTGTGAGGGGCGATGTTTACGTTGTATCGCGCACACTGACTGACTCATTTTAATATGATACGAGGCTATGATCAATGACAAAGTAGTAATGAATGTGATAAGCTAACATAGATGAATAAAATATCGTTCAGAATCAGTTTAATAAAGAACATTATTTTGCTTCGACTCACCGTTAAATATTTTTATAAAAATTAATCTGTGTTTTATACTTAAAATTGGTGATAAGTACTTAATAACCCATCATATTGTACGCATGGACAAAACATAACCCATGCATAAAAATCGATTATAATAAAAAAATCCTATATAAAAAATAAAAATATATATAGGAGTAAGTACACTTATTTACAAACACTAATATGTTCATACAATAAATTATGATAAAAGATTATGATGAATAAAATGTAGTAGCCGTGGTAGCTCAGGGGATAAGCGCTCCCTATAAATTTAACAGTAGGCGAGCAACTTGGATTCGATCCCGCGGGTACCGTTGAAATTGTTAAGTTTGCAATTTTAAATGCTGATTTACCCAGTGCTCGGCGGTGAAGGAAAACATCGTGAGGAAACCTGCATATCTGATAAATAAGAAAAAAAGATATTTCAAAGACATCTGAAGTTCGCCAACACGCATTAGGGCAGCGCAGCGGTCAATTCCTTGCCCTGAAATCCTCTCAGAAATTAGAGTAGTAGCCAATGCCCAGCTGTGGGACGAAAATAACCTAAAACTTCTTTAACTTTAAAGTGATGGAGTATAATAATGTACAAAAAACTAAGGCTCTTATTCAAAGTGTGCGAAATGCTAGTATACCAACTACTTAGATTATGTTTTAAGATTACATTTAAAAGTCAATGTATCACTTTTATCTCAATAAAGCAAACATTTTTAAGATGAATACAGAAGTCGCAGTAATTTTTGGGCCTTAAATTTATATATGAATTAAAGAATAATTAATTTAAAGTACATACTTACATATATTTAAATATTTTTTATTAACAATTCAATTTTTTACTAATTAAGTAGCAATAAAAAATAGCTAAATTTTCGAATGAAAAAAAGCAACATGTGATTGGTTGTGACGTCATTAAATCAGTTGAGGCTGTGAGCCAATCGCAGTTCTGCTATAATTTTGTATTTTATTCATTTATTTATTTATTAGGAAACTCAACAGCATTTTTTTACATAAACATACTTAAAAATAATATATACCTAGTACACTTAGCCAATAACAGAGCTTCACAACATGCTGATAAACACAGAAGCAGAGAGGTTATATATGGTTATATACACACATATACTTATTTATATATATTATTTATATATATATTTATTTATCTATATTATTATTATTATTTATGTGGGGTATCCATATAGTTTTCTCATCTGGTTGTGATGTATAAATATATAATTTGTAGTAATTATTTATTATTATTATTATTTTTATCACATATATTATCACAAAACTATAATATTATAAATATAAATACATCTATATAAATAATATTATTATTTCGGTTATTATCCACCGCGGCGAGGAATTCTAAGCCATCGGTGAAGTTAGGCATCCAAAGATAGGAACCTTCTTACTATTCGAGCCGTATTTAATAAGGCCGATTTTTGAATTAATGCCTTCAGCCATTTGCCCAAACCTAACTTGGACAGATAATTGTCCATATTTTTACCAATAAGCCCATTGACTGAAACAACTATTGGTACAATAATAGTAGAATCAACGTCCCACATAGCGACAATCTCATGAGCCAGGTCGATATATTTAATTTTTTTATCATTCTCTGCTTTTACGAGATTCTCGTCATGAGGAACACTGATATCCACTATTATTGCCTTGCGTGTAGTTCGGTCTATCACCACAATGTCAGGTTTATTTGCCACTATAAACCTGTCTAAGATAATTGACCGATCCCAGTACAGTGTGACACTTTTATTCTCAAGGACTGGCTTTGGTTCATACTTATAATATGGAACGTCCTGTTGAGTAAAGCCAAATTTAATGGCAAGCTGTTGGTGTATTATTCTAGCTACTTGGTTATGTCTGTGCAAATACTCACCATTTGATAGATGTGAACAACCGGAAATAACATGTCTGAGGGACTCTCCAGGGTGGTGACATGCGCGACATACGTCAACTGTGCCGTCCCTCAGAATGTATCTCCGGTAGTTGTTCGTTTTAATTACTTCATCTTGTATTGCACAGATAAAACCTTCAGTTTCTGCAAAAAGGTCACCAAATTGTAACCAATGTACTGATGCAACCATGTCTACACAAGGATTAGTCAATACTTTAAAAAATCGACCATGCAATTGTTTGTCATTCCAAACCTTTTTGCGTTCATCCATAGTCATAGTATGAGGCCTCTGCCAGTCCTTTGCCGACATATTAAGCGGGGTTAATGATTTGTCATTAATCACTACGTCATTATGAATGTGTGATGTGTCTTTTTTTTTAAATAAAATAGTCTCTGCGGTTGTATACTTCACGGTTGTGCAGGTTTTTAATGTTTAATAAGCCCCGTCCACCATCTTTTCTTGGAAGATACAACCTCATGACAGATGATCGTGGGTGGTGCATTCTGTGTGTAGTCATTAATGTACGGACTCGTCTATCTAAGTCATCCAATTCTGTTTGAGACCACCTTGTTATTATTATTATGTGGGGTATCTATATAGTTTTCTCATCTGGTTGGGATGTATAAATATATAATTATAAATGAAAATGAAAAGATAAATATACATAAATATCAATAAAATAAAATAAATACAAAAATACATAAATAAATAAAAGCCCAACCAGATGGAAGCCCTCGGCAGGGGAGACCAAACGGCCAAGGGTTAGGGGGAAAGGGAAAGAAACCGGCGGACGATGCGGGCAGTATCAAGGAGCACCGCCTTCTGCATTTGAGCCCGGAGCGGTCCGTCACGGAGTCCCAGTCGCCTCAGATGATCAGAGAGGCTAACTGGGATTAGCCCATTCGCAGAGACGACTACAGGAATAATTTCGGTCGGCATACCACACTACATGTCGGTCACCTCGTGAGCCAGGTCCAGATACTTTGATTGCTTATCTGTTTCGGCTTTCACGAGGTTCTCGTCATACGGGATGGTAATATCGACCAAAAATATCCTTGACTGTGCCCGGTCCATCAGCACAATATCAGGCTTATTCGCAAGAATAGTCCTGTCTGTGATGATGGCCCGGTCCCAGTAGAGCCTGGCGCGGTCATTTTCGAGCACGGCTTCCGGCAAGTACTTGTAATACGGCAATTTCCGGTCTCATTTCTTGTGGACGAGACCGTATTCAGAGCGAGCTCCTGGTGTAGAATTCTGGCTACTAGGTTGTACCTGTGCAAGTACTCAGAGTTAGAAAGCGCCGAACAACCGGAGATGACATACCTAAGTGACTCACCGGGATGGCGACAAGCTCGACAGACGTCGACGGTGCCATCCTTTAGGATGTATCTCCGATAGTTGTTGGTCTTACCTTGTTGGTTGGACCTGATCCTGTATTGCACAGACAAAACCCTCGGTTTCCCCGAAGAGGTCACCGAAACGCAGCCAGTTGAGGAAGGCGACTGTATCTACGAAGGGCTCATGTAGAGCCCTGTAGTACCTCCCGTGGAGCTCTTTCTCCTTCCATACGGTCTCCCGGTCGGAAATGCTAAGAGATGCTAAGAGACTATTCCATCATCGTCTGAATTAGCCACAAATGGAATGTTGACGGCAGCATCCACATATGCAGTTTGTTGCGCATCTAATGGCGCCGCATTCCCAGCCGTTGCATTTCCATTCGATGAAGGAATAGCCTCACGTCGTAGTCGCTCGAGTTCGGCGTCACCAAATATGTTGGAGCGCAGGATGTACCTAACTCGGTCTGCCAGGTTTTGCTCAGTGACGGATATCAGGAGCCCGATGCAGCATACTCCACGCCAAACATCCAGTTTCTTCCCCTTTTGCCCTAAAATACGCCCGCAGTGCGTTTTCATTCATTGATTTAGACCAACGCATGCGACGTGCTCCACCAGCGGCGGGTGCCGCTTGCTGAGTCCGAGAAGACCCAGCCGACACCAAGCCTTCTGGTGGGGATGATGGATGCGGGTGGCTGCTAGGTGGTCTTGCAACACCCCGCGCTCGGCTGGCGGCCCGCATGCTGTCGCGTCCAGCGCCAGCTCCAGACGCGCCCTGGCGACCTCCAGGCAGCGGCCCTTTGCGCACTATCTTTTTCTCCATCATCCATAATATGGGCGTCCATTAACGGGAGACGCCCAGGCCCGACACCGTATCGTGGACGGCCATAAGCACAAACGGGCCTTTGCACCCTGAATTCTGCCGAGGCACGGCGCTCACACCTCTCGCAAGGCGCTGACTGACTGCGTTGACGTAGCAGTTTTGTCACTTAACTGTTACGTCAGCGGGCGATGGGGTCGTCAATTCCCTACGCCATTTTATTTTATTATTATTATTATTATTATGTAATGATGTAACATGTAACATGTTATTTTAAGTATGTACCTTAAAATTTTATTATAACTATATTAACAACATGATTTTCAGATTGACACTACAGAATTTAGATAAAACAGATGCAGTTAGTAAAGAATAGATGTACGTCATAACTCATAACAAAACAGATATAACCTATTGTTACGTGGGTTCAAGGTGCCACCGTTCGACGGTACCTCTTCCTGGTCAGCCTACAAAATCCAGTTCGAGGCTGTTATGAAGGCGAACGGCTGGAATAAAAGTCAGGCCATGACTGCTCTCACACTAGGCCTGCGCGACCAGGCCTTAACAGTCCTGGAAGCTCTCGGTGAGGAAGTGACTTATGAGCAACCTCCCTGACGCGAGTGCATCGTGGCTGGTAGAGCCACGATGCACTATTTTAAACTATTTTAAACTT